AGCCGAAGCAAATAAATGATAAGCAGAACATATCAACCATTCTGGGAGCTCTAGGGCCAGCACCACCCATTCTCATCTGTGAGGTCTTAGGTCAGTATGACATGATCCCTCTGTTTTCCCATCTGGAAGGTGTGAATAACAATACCTACCTTGGCACCCCAAGTGATAGAATACATTTGAATGGGTGGAGCAACAAGAACACATCATATGCACTTAATGGACTGTAATACATTTGACCACTAAGGGCATTAGGAGGCAAGAGCAGCAGAAAATGGAATTCAGAGAAGTCTGTGCAAATGGATGGGAAATAGACCTGTCTTTATTTTCAGCTACTTGTTTCCTTATTGTGCATGTCCAATTATGAAGCTAGGCAAGAGATCACAGTAATATTAGTATTACATTGGTCCAGATTAGTATTACATTACATTACATTGGCAATGTCACCAATAAAGATTTTCACCTCACATTACATTGTTCTACATTCCTCAAAGTATTGTTTATGCCAATGATGGCGCACCTTTTGAGCTCAGCGTGTCAGCATTTTGAAAAACCCTAACTTAACTCTGGTGCCGTGTCACATATAGAAATTTTTTGATATTTGCAACCAGAGTAAAACAAAGATTTATATTTTTGATATTTATTTTATGTATTTAACAAAGAAAAATCAACCAAAAAAATGAGTTCGCGTGTCACCTCTGACACGCGTGTCATAGGTTCGCCATCACTGGTTTATGCTCACTACTTTGAAACTGTGGTAGTTATTATGTCAATCACTAGATACTGTTATTTAATGTGTTAATATGTAATTACATATGCTATGAAATAACAATATTTCAAAAATTAAGCCTTATTTCAGTATAATAAATGTTATAATCCTGTGCATTTAATTTATGCATTTATTTAAAATAATAGTATTAAAAATTATAAAAAATAATATTATTATCTTAAGGGAGCCACAGGCTACCACTAGCTGCCAAAGGGACCCAAGGTGCCAAAAGTTTGAGAATGACTGTTTTTAAAATACATTTTATTAATTTTTACAGAGAGGAAGGGAGAGGGATAGAGTTAGAAACATGGATGAGAGAAAAACATCCATCTGCTGCCTTATGCACGCCCCCTACTGGCGATGGAGCCGGCAACTAAGGTACATGCTTTTGGCCAGAACCGAACCCAGGACCCTTCAATCTGCAGCCGACACTCTATGCACTGAGCCAAACTGGTGAGGGCAAGAATGACTGTTTTTAAATGGGAATCCATGGGGGAAGGGAAGGGGTTGGGCTGCCATGCTGGGTGTTTTCACATATGTTATAGACAGGAACACTATGGAGATTTCTGTGGTTGAGGCACTAGACACATGAAGAGCAAAAAATGAGGCTGAGCCCTAGATGATTATGATGATTATTATTTTACCAAAAGTCCTTTGAAAACTCCAGAGGAAGAAAAACTAATGTCCCAAAAGGCACTGCAGTTGGATGATATCATCCCATCTTTGGAGTCTCCTGTACTGAGAGCTTGCCTGCATCTGGAGAAACTAAAAATTCTAACCTGAAAACATTAGCCTTCCTTCTCTGATGGCGGCAGTTAGAACCATGAGAGTGACAGTGGCCTTTCCAGTCAGCTGTGTGGCCCTTAGCTCACTTAGTGGCCAAGTAGCTGTGAACTGGAAACCTCATTGGGACTCCTTTTAAGTTGCCATGAGTTTATGGTAAGAACTGCTAACAGGTCAAACCAGCTCTTTTCTGACCGGGGGAACCTGAGTTCTAGAGATGACGCAAAGCTTGCTTAAAGTTACAAACACAGCTGCTAAGGACACAAAAGTATAAGAGAATTGCTCTCCTGTATCCCAGGTACTTGTTCCTGAAAATACATTCCTCTGAAGGAGACTAACTGTTATTACAACCTCTCAACCTATAGTCAGTCTGGGCTATAGCACACTTATGGTGGTTCTTCTCTCCAAGATCATGTTGATCTGTGCTTAGTCTGAAAATTCATATAGATTATTGACTCTCTTTGACCTCTTAAAATCACTGACATCCATTTTAGGAAGGCACCTACAAGATACCACTCTCAAGCCTGAGAAAACTGAAACCTAATTGTGAGGTTTAGAAAAATGGTGCATCAGTATCCCGGAGAGATTCAATGTAATATTAAATACCCTCACTGATAAGCATGAATACTCTTGGGATTGGACATGGAGGGCAACAAGTCCTGGAAGTAGCAATTTCACTGCGGTTGTGCCCTTGGATGCTGGATCTGTTAAAGGGAATGAAAAATCTCCAGGGCTACCAACTCCCGGAGGACACAAATTGCTTTACTCTGCATTTCTCACAGCACAACCTAGCACAGTAGTACAGTTGAGATCCTTGTACAGATGTGGACTGCACGCTCATCTACATGAACTGCTTGGGAGGGATAATCCAGTGAACTGAGCAGTAACTTTGAGAGCTTCAGCAGAGAGGTGTTCTCTTGTCTTATACTTTTAAGTATCACAGATTATGCTATAGGCTGATTTTAAGTTGGGGATTGAGAAAGAGAGGTGTAGAAGATATAGCTGGCCACAAAGCTCCTTTAGTTTGTCTATACTGCTTTAGTGTTCCTAACAGGTTAGGATGATTGCCATTTTTGTGTAACTAAGGCTCAGAGGGGTTAGGAGCTTTATCTGAGCTCACACAGCTAGCAAGTGCCTGGAGCTCTCTTAGAGCCCTTGCTTACTCTCCCTCTCCCCACACTCCCGAATAACATTCCTCTCTCAACTCCCAGATATCGGACTCTGATGGGTCCCTGAGGGATTCCTGCCAGGGAGTTGCCATCCCTGAAACCCCTTTCCCCAACGGATTTTTCGTTCGGAGCGCGCGGGCCAGGAGCCAGGTGAGGCTGGAAGCTCCATGTCAGTTTTCTCTAGAATCCGTCACTGTGGTAACTCCCAATAGAATCTGTTTCAGGAAGAGGTTAGTCTGCGCGGGACAGCGTTGCCATTCATCACTGCGGGAGGGCAGAATCGGGGGCTGGGGGCCGCCCGACGAGAGGGGAGGGGCCAGGGGGCGGCCCCCTTGTGACCAGCCCTGAGGAGAGGTCAGGAGAGGAGGCTGGCTGAGGAGCGCCTGGACAGCAGCAGCTGCTGACGTTCTGAATCACGCGCCCTGGGGCCCAAGGTAACCCAGACCTTTAAACAAACAGCGGGGCTGGGGGCGCTGCGGGGCGGGGGCGGGAAGGGGCAGGGACTTTGAGGGCTGAGTACTGGAGATGGGGGTGGCCACGAACGCGTGGAGGGCGTGAGAAGGATTCCGGATTCTCAGAGGAATCCCTGGGAACTGAGGGTGCTGAAGCAAGAAGCGAGGTGTGAGAGCGCGAAGGAGCGTGGAGAGGGCGCAAGAGCGTGGCTGACCCTAAGACTGCGCCTGGAGGTGGGGGAGAAGGTGGAGCACAAGACAGCCCCAGAAGCATAGGTAAGGTGGGATCAGGGGGCCATTTTCTTCCCGAGCCCATTTTCCATAGGTGGCCCCCTTTCAGCCATTTTCAAGGTAAAATGTAGACACAAGTGTGTTTTAGGATCTAGGGAATGAACGTCAGAGGAAGCTGTACCCAAGTGAGGCTGCTCAAAGCGCAGTCCAGGCAGTCAGAGGGTGGCGCCTTTTTTTAAAGATTCCATCTCTCTCCTCCCTAA